TTAGTTTGACATTTACCAGCACTGCTAACTCTATTATTCTACATGAACTATTCTGATAAAAGGAAGACAGACTGCTCTACCACGTCAGTTTTCTATGTCATAAGGCATAGTGGTTTTTCCCTAATAGCCATCGGTACTGTTTAAACCACAAAAATGGGTCAGGCCTTAAATGTATCTGCAAGTCACATTTCATCCTCATACCTCCGTATTAAACTTCTGTAAAAACTGTAACGTGGAAAAAGTTTCTGCAAACAGCTACTAATTAATCAATGGCTAAGATGATTAGTATTTCCCAATACATTTCTTCCTTATCAGCCCAGTTTTGCTCATCTTTACTCATGTAGCACTCAGGTCACTGTCACATTATTTTTTAAGTCTGCATCGTAACAACATGGTTAACAACAGTGGATTGCTCTGAAAAGAATGAAAACGCTCCTAAAATAGGTGAAAGTCATAATGTCTGACAGTGGGAGAAACAAAAACATACCATCAGAGGTAGCCTATTGAACTCAAAATCACAAAAAATATTCTGATTACATGTACAGTATCTTGCCATCACTGGTCTACACAATGGTACATTTAGAATCTACCAAGAAAGTAGGCTTCCATCTTGTGTTGTAGTCACAGGCAGTCAGTCAGAGTTCCTTTCTGATGTCCATTTTAATGATGGAAATAGAGACCACATGTATACTTAAAAAACAACTTGTAAAATCATTTTTGAAAAACAAATATATATTATTAAATTTTACAATGATGCATAAGGACAGTACGCAGGGCAGGATTTCCCATGAGGAAGTAGAGCCTTCAGAAGCCAGAACAAGCTGCATATCACCAATGACCTTTCCTATACACAGCAAAGTCCAATCATTTGCAATCCCGAGTTGTTTTTTTCTTTAAGCTATTAAATACATCCACCACAACACCATCCACATCCACAGACACCTTTGTGCTGTTCATGTGTGCACAGAAGTTTACAGCTACATCTCCAGTGCCTTTATGGGGCCTGAAAACACACAGATTGGCATCTCTGCTTGTCAGCTGCATTTGGAAATTGGGAAGTTTAAGTCCATACTGTTAATTAATACATACTGCTGGGAACCCATTGCACCAAATAACTTGAGGAAGAAGCCTAGGCAGTTCTTACATGAAGGGTAGAAAGGGAGGCATTTATTTAGCTGAACAAAGAACGTGGTTTCTATGACTTACCCTGAAGATTCTGTGCAAACTTAAGGCTTCTCTGTGTACCATTTTATTACTATCATTTAATAGTTGACTTCCATTTTCAAACATAAGGGAACCCTGCTTAGGTGTAATCAACCAGGAATTTATAAACAAATCCAGGCTAAAAACTGAAAAATAAGCTCTGTGATTATTAAATATTTTGCTTTGCAAATTGTGTCACGCAATCAGGGTTTGTTTAGAGTAAGTATAGACAAATAGTATAAATGTGTTCTCTCTGTTGGCATCTGCAACTGGGATGCAAATCCAAAGCTTTCCTGAGCCTGGTGACAGAGTGAGCCATCAACTCTGCCATACTTATACAGATTCTGAATCTCCATCTCAGTGATTTCCCAAAGTAACCAAAAAACCATGCAGCCTGTAGCACATTTTACAATTGCCCACTTTATCCGTGGAGTCCTTGTACTCCTGCATACACCACGTTGAGTAACGAGCAGAATTACAGATAAGTGCGAGGAGGAAAGCAAACAAATGATACTGAGATTTCCTTTTCCCATTTACCAGACCAGGTCCAGGTCTGGGCAGGTCAACATGCCTATGGCATCTTCCTGTTCCCCATGAAATCAACATGAATTTTGGTACTACGTTTAGTGGAAAGAAGGCAGACCTCCAGCACCGTGTGATCACAAAGACAAGTGGGGTGATTAAACGTGACTCCTAAAAAGTACACTGTATTGTCTAAGTAAACCAAGATTGAAGCCAGCACCTTGTCCAAAACATCAATGAAACAACAACAACAAAAAGTATTGTAAAAACTTTCCTGTGTTAAATAACCAACTCAAAATCAACTCTTTGCTCGGTCGTTTTGCTTTCCAATGAGCGCATGCAGTTCACCTTGGAGACAGACACAGAACTGAGCAAAAATGTAGTTCTTCTGGTTGCTGTAATTCTTAGTCACAGATATTGATGAAATTATTAGTCCAAGATACTAGAGCTCTAGATTAGCTAAATCAATCAGGCCTGTGCTACTGAGAAACAAGATTTTGAAGAGTCAATTATTGGCTGTTGAAGGCATGCTTAAAATGAACTGCAGCATGAATAGAGTGCCCTGTTTATCTATTTCTATTCTGTAGAATATCACCAGACTCCTGGTTTTGTCTGGGCTAGAGACTCCATTCATTCTGCCTGTTAAGTCATTCCAAACAGACCCAGGGATCCACCAAGATGAAGGGGTAATGTAGTGTCCCAAATAATCTGAAAATGGAGACAGTTTGGATGCGTACTAATAAAATATCAAGCCAGTACTTCACAATAAATTGAGTGTTATTTTACAGTAGGATCCACTAGCAAAGTGCCAGCAAAACCTCTACTCCAGGGATGCTGATTACTTTAAGGTATCCTAAATGATGTCTGCTGGAAGCGACTTCCAGATCTAACAACCAATTTTTGTAAGCTTCTTCTATAGGTAAAAATGCATCCTCTTTTCAGTCATAATTTCTCTACTTCGTAAGTATTTCACATCTTTCTACTACATCATATTTTGTAAAATATCTTAACAGTACAAAAAGTCACCAAACAACTACTGGATACGGTGGTTCTTGCATTGCTGTTATTCATTTTGGGGGCAAATTCATTGATTTACCAGATCTAGGAGAGTTACGGAGGACTTGCTTCCAATAGTTCTGTGTTTATGAAACTGCAGAGTTTTAACACCAGCTTTTACAACACATCCTAGCCAGGACTGCAGAATGGCAGGCCGATGGCTGTACAGCTGTTTATCTTACTGAGCACTTCAATATTCAGTAAAGAATTCTAAGCTCTCACCTTTAGGTAGACAGGTGGACGTATTTCTACCATCACTACCTTTGGAAGATTTGAACCAATGGGATTCTGTATACAGAATACGTGTCAAATAGGGGTATAACTTCAAACATCAATGTAATAACTTCTGCAAACATAATACAATTAAGAGGCCCCTAAGCACTTAGTATTGGATACTAACATTCTACATACAGCACAACTGTACCCTCAGCTGGAACAGAAAATTCCTAATATTCCTATGTAGTTCACTTTTTTCCTGCAAAAATGTCTCCATCTTTGTATATCATTTATTGCAGGCACAGGGATAGCTGACCTCACACTCAGATACCCCAGCACAAAGTGGAAGACCACTGTGACACCATATTCACCTTCAGTTTCATCTTTAGGCCTCCCTCCAGCAGTTCCACTTTAGAATCCCGTAACAGGAGGGGCTTGGTCACGCTGGTATCATGTGTATTATGCTTACACATATGTATATATTTGGTTTGAAAACTCACATATAGCAATCTAAGATCCCATTATTTGAATGCCTGCATTCTGAATTTTCTCCCTTTTCGTTCTCTTTAAGGACTTTCTTCTGCCTCACGCAGATTCGGACAGAAACCTCCCCTTGAAAGGAGCACTTCTCACTCACTGCTACCTGAATGTGACAAATTAGGTAGAAAAAGGCAACCACACAGAATAGCTCTTGTTTGCAAATGGCTTGAACTGGGGGAGCAAAATGATGATCTTTAACTATTGACACGTTTGCTGGAAACTTTTGCAGGCAATTAGACAGCCCAGAAGCCCAACCTTGCAGTATGCAGGCTGTCTGCCATGCATTCTTGCATGTCTTAGTAACTCCTAGGGTTACAATTACTTTAAAACAAACAAAAAAAGAAACCATCAACATTCAATTTACCATTGAAAATGGCCTCTCTATTATGTTTTCTTAAATTAAAACTAATATAGCCTAGTCATAAGGATTCACTTGAGAGCTAATTTTGTAAAGCATACCCCATTGTGGCAATTAACTCTTCAGGTTGAAGAATTTTAATCAAAAGAGTATTTCAGATATACCATACCTGAAAGTCCCTATACTCATTTTATATTTTAGTCTGGGTCCCTCTGAAGGCACATCAGTGTTGAAATAGGAGATATGTGCAGAAATCCTGGATTAAGTGAGAATTTGCTAATTCAGTAAATTTCAGAGTTAGGGAGGAATTTGTGCAATAGGAGACTAAAAATGACAACGTCAAATGAAGTGTAAAAATGAGGTCTTAACCATCCAGTTACTACAGATCCCACATGATCTGTGCAGAGATAGAGCTGGTGGGGTTTTTTTGCTCTGTGCTGTGTTAAGCAGTTGACATCTTTTCATCCTTGAGGAGGTGCTCATATTTCAATAGAAGATTAAGTCATTGCTGTGACTCATCACAGGGTTTTTTTTGTTGGTTTTTTCTTATTTTTTAGTGCTTTAGGATCTTTGGGGATAAGAAGCTCTGTTATAAAGGTATAGTAGCACTTCTGGTTAAAGTGGGTTGGTTTGCATTTGAAGCAAAATTAATTTACACACTGCTGTCTTCTTCCACCGACTTCCTGAGATCACAAAGTTTACGCATGCAGCGATACCAACCGCTTGCTGATAATTCATCTACACCCAGACTGTAGGTTTAGCTATGAGGTAGACTTAAAGAAAATCCAGAGAGCGACAACTGGAATGAGAAATTAAAGAACCCCCTCGCAAGGACGCAGATGTATTACACAGAGGAACCGAGAAAAGCTCACCTTATAAGCGAGCATACTGTAAAAAGCAATGCCAGTTCAACACTTCTAGCAAATGACCAACATTTAATGTGAAAACCTGTGACTTAATTAAGGGAATGAAGCTAAAAGGGTTGAGGGTGCCGGTCATTTCAGTCAGAACACAGGGACACGGCTCACATCTTGCAAGCTTTGTGAGTAACTGCTATTTTGTAACACAAGGCTTTTCTTTTTGAACTGTTTTTAATGCAGGCATCATGGTGAGTAAGGAGCCCAGCAAATGCTTACTCACCACCTCGGAAAGCGAAGTTGAGCCCGCAGCTTCGCTCGCTTTGGAGATGAAATATGCACTGGATCCCAACCGGCAGATAAAGAAACGCAACAAAGCCCTGCAGGTGAGATTTAAGGATATCTGCGAGGCCCAGAACGAGCAGCGGGACAAGCAGCTCTCCACCACCCAGGATACAGACAAAAGAGAAGCCAAGCCCGTTTCCTACAAAACGGCGTATCGCAAATACATGACGGTGCCGGCCCGGAGGTCCATCCCCAACGTCACCAAGAGCACAGGAGTTCAGACATCCCCCGATCTCAAGAAGTGTTACCAGACCTTTCCTCTGGACCGGAAAAAAGGGAATATCATTAAAAGCGCCTCAGCCGTTGACACCTTTAAGAGTGAGAACAACGGCTTCCTGATAGACATTAAGGAGAAGGACAGCAGGAGCTCAGAGGACGGCAGTCAGTGGGGCAAGAAGGCCGGCAGCCTGCAGACGGCCGAGTTCATCTCCCACGTGGGCGAGCGGGCAAGCACGGGGCCCGGCGCAGCCTGGACCTGGCAGGGCGCTGAGCTGCACGGCTGCAGCCTCCTCAACGCGGCCGAGCCCAGCAAGGGCAAGCCGGGAGCCGAGGAGCCGGGCCAGCCCCTCCACGGGAGGGTGTTTAAGACAGAAGTGGCCACCGTCTACCTGCCGGCAGGCGGCCCGGACGCCTCGCAGCCCGAGCCCGACTGGTCGCTGTGCCCGGCGGGCGAGGAGGACAAAAAGAGGACCGTGCATGTGAATGGCGTGCAGGGCCAGGCGGGAGATGCGGCCGCCTGCCCGCCGCAGGCGCAGTGCCGGGCCAGCGAATGTAGCGAGCGGGGCCTGCAGGTGAACGCGGCGCCCATGGAGGCTGCGCAGCCCTGCCAGGCTGCCGTCGCCCTGAGCGAGGAATGCCAACAAATCGTGCCTCACACGGAAGTTGTGGACTTGAAAGCGCAGCTTCAGATGATGGAAAATTTGATCAGCTCGAGTCAGGAAACCATCAAAGTGTTGTTGGGTGTCATACAGGAGCTAGAGAAAGGAGAAGCTCACAGAGAAGGGTGAGTGCAAACTGGTTTAAATGCTTTCTCCTGTATGCGCTGTGGTGGGTTTTGCCCATGTCGGTTCCCATCAGCAGTCCCGTGCCCCTCTGCAGAGCACCGAGTTCCGCCTCCTATCACTCAGCTGTACGTGCTGGGAGTCCTGCAGAGCCTGCCGGCTGCACGAGCAGATTTGCTATCTGCACATCGCAGCAGAACGTCCTCGGGTAGTCATGTAGGGAAAGCTTACACTGTATCTCTGCTGCTCAAAATACATGGGGATGTAATGAGCTGAGGCTCATTGGCACCGAGCTCCTGCACAGCTTTCTTATGAGCTCGGAAGCAGCCCCTCCTAAGTCAGGATTTAAGGCAGCAACCTGACATGGCATGAGGAGCAGGAGGGAGAATCCTCACTATGTAAGAACTTAACAGACAGGGAAAGTATTATAACTCCGGATACCATTCACAGCATATGAATCCTGTTTGCTTTGCTTTCACTTTCTGAAACGTTTAAGAAAATGGAATAAGAACTTGGAGTATCAAGTCTTTGTAGCATTCCTACTTTCCTATACATGATAAACTCTTAAGGACAAAAGAAAAGGTTCTGTTTACCCCTAACTTATGCAACTGCCATCGACTCTGAATGCATCACAAGCACTGGTTCCTGTAACACAATGCAGTCTTTACTGAGAGCTCAGCCTGTCTCTTGCATTCTCTAAAACATTTTTCAGACTTAGCTGCTAATACTTACTTAGCAAATGCATTCACTATGTGCATGCACTATAAAGTTATGGTTTCTGAAATCTGGACTTTAAAATCAGAAACCAGTGGATCTTGCTACTTAAGGCAGTATGTCCTCAAATTTCAGTCAAAAACATACATCTTAGATTTGTAATTTAATTTTTCCTCTAGCAGTGTGGAAAGTATCTGGTTAGCCCTAAGTATTGAGAAAAATAATCTTAGCATTTTTAGCTTGTTCTAGAGCTAGTCATAGTGCCTTGAAAATATTGTGTCAGTTCCCAGATCTTTGGGCTGGGAACCTCCTTGCTCCAGCTGAAAGCAACATATGGATTTTCATTTTTTCATAGTTATTCTGAAAACCTATTCCTCTGGCTTTACTAACTTACAAAACTAAACGGGAATCAGAAAGAGATGATGGTAATCCTTGAGGTCTGTTCCAACCCAAGCCATTCTGTGATTCTATAACATGATGCTTGTCAAATCATAAGACACAGAAAAATATTTCTCGGTCGTAACTCATAATCTGATCATTTTGAACCCCGCGAGTATGAAACACACACACCTACCACAAAGGGACCTGCTATAAATAAGTGTTCCCTCCATACACCTACATGTCATTTTTTTGTTTTCCCGACGATACCAGAAAGCACATCCCACAAAGTACTTATTTTTAATTTTACAGCTGACCCATTTCATGTACCCAGCATCTGAATGGCATCCATGCCCTCAGCACAAGAGAGGTCTTACTCAAACTAAAATGGTTGCTGATATCTTCAAATCGTCCCTGTGAAGCTGCTAACCAGACAAAGCTGTAGCCTATATTGGCTCTAAAACAGTGGGACTACCTGTGAATCCCAGCTCTTCACAAGACTGTACTGCCTCTTATATACAGATATCAGTGTAAGAGTCTACAAGGCTGTACTATATTTGATCAAAAAGCCTATTTAGTAGCACTCTTTTATTTTTTCCCCATAGGATACGTGGCAGTGGTGAAATGGTCCTTCCCCACCACCCAAAGATACAACACGTTTTGAATTCATTTCTGGTGTGTGAAAGAGGCAATTAAGATGTTTTACTGATTCTTTGATGTTAACTGCAAAATCATAACCAGTGGCAGTTACACCAGCACTGGAGGTTAATTATAAAAACGGGAGGCAAAATATCTACAAATCACAGTGAGCCTTCAGATGAAGGTTTGTTTTCAATACAAGGGCATTGAAATGCCTCCAAACTTAGAATGAGCAGCAAAGCAATTCCAGCTCCCCCTGCACTTGCTCTGGGCTTGTCCCAGATGTGCCTCCTCATGGCCAGACACGAAGTGTGTGAGGGTGGTGATGGAGGAAAGGAGAGATGCATACTTGTACATTTTCTCCTGCTTAAGGAATCCCTGTATTCTGGATCCATTTAACTTCCTAGCACCTGTGAGATATACAAGGAGATGCAGAAAGGAGTTCAGCACTGTGCCTGGGATGCTTCTGTTCTCCACTGAGTGTACTCCAGAGCTGAAAGAACTGTCTGTTCTCACGCAAAGCACCGGTGCATTATTAACTGAAAGAAAGTATCTACCCTTATTCCCCTCAAATTAGGCAGCCATTTCAATAAAAGGTACTCTGCCTTTTTTGCCAGTAATTCTTGCCCATTACCACATTGATTTCTACAACATTTTGCCACCAAGACCAACTGCTGCATATACAAAACCATCACATATCTTCTCAATTTCAGGGTGTTGCCATTTCTTCCTTTAGCAGCCCCTGACTCCTGTTAAGTCAGTTTATAACAAGAAAATGAAAGAATTATTACAGCTTCATCTCTGCTTCCCTGGCAGATATATACAAGTCTGCCAGGAACTAGAACAAAAAACAGTGCTCTGTGTTTATGGCAGTCTATTGGATTTCTTACGTATATTAAATACCTTCCAATACACACAAATAAATAATGCACTGCAGGCCAAAAAGAAAAAAGAATAATAAAAAAAAAGGAGAACAATATAGAGTATACAGCTAACTCTCTCAATCAGATTTTTCTCCCTTCAAGAAAATCAGTGTTCTTTAAGTGCTTGTTGTGCCATGGGACTGGTGCTCAGTAGATTCATTTTCACTAATATGCTGTAGGTCTTGAACTGCTATTACTGCAATTCATCACTAAATGAGTCTATGCCAGCAAAAGTGTATCAGCATCTCTGAAGATAGCAGTATCATCCTTTGGGTGAACATCATCCATGTGTACTTTTCAAAATGTCAGTAGTACATTATCTGCAATTAGCAGCAACATACAGCACTCAACTCTGATGAAAAGCAGTTGAAAAAAACAGGAGGAAGAAAAGAACATCTTCCCTTCACTCCTGACAAGAGGCAGAGGGCTCCTGCTGCCCAAACCTGATGCACTAAGCACGCATCACATCCCTTCTTCTCTGACTGAGGATCACGCTCCAATTTATTGGTCACAGAATGAAAAGTTGGGGCCGTCAGGCAACACAGCTCTTTCCATCAGCTGCAGCATAATTTTGATGCATTAAATCTATCTGAACAGCATGGCACGGATCTGGAGACGGGTTAGAAATCATCATGGCTAGCTTGTGACAGCCACACACACCCCAATCAAAGATGATTATTAAAAGTGTACGTTCCTTGCATGCATCATTATTTAATAACATTTTGGCAGAGCAGCGATTCAGTCTTTCTGTGTGGAGGTCTCAACAACAACAACAACAAAAATACATCATAGCCAAGGGCATTAAACAACCTTTGATTTAAGTCATGCATGAACAGAAGTAGCAGAGCTACAGCTTCCGTTCAGGCTTCCAGCTCCAGGTGGGGGAAAAGAACTGACTATTACGTGATGCACTGTGCAGCTCAAAGACCCAAAACAAATTATTGGCTCTGAATTATGCTTGCTTTATCTTCTAGTAAACTGTTAGCAATCTCTAACAGCTGTAGACATGCCTGTATTCAGACACAGTGCATTCAATTAAGCAAGCCAAAATTCTGATCTGTTTACCTGTATGGAGCCACACTAAGTCAGGAGGAGTGAAAACAAAACACAAGGCACTGACTTCAAAACTTGGCTGACGATGGTACTGCATATGAAATATGTAACAAGAGAAGCACTCAGAAGATGAACAGATAACTGAAAATATCTTGCAGCTGGAGAACACCGATGACCTGCTCCTTAAATCCTTACTGTGAGAAGGAACAGTAATCAAGGCCCTTCTTATTATGCAATAAATCAGTAATTTTAATAAACAAAGCACTCAATTTGCCATACAAAAATGAGCCAGAGTGTTTTGACTGCACCAGGCCAAATGCTACATATTAGACAAGAGTTAAATGAACCTGTTTCAGCAATCATTTGTATTCATTTGTTAGTGGTTCAGGAATTCAGAGAGCTCTCAGCAACATGAAAGCAGCAATTCCAGACAACACCAGCAGTTCAGAGAGCTCGTTCAAAGAGGCTTTGAAAGAATACGATCTCATGGACAGATTTTAAATGCCGTTGCATGCATCCTTCCAATGAATACAGGATATCTGGGTGCCCTATTGTCATTTCTAAGCAGCGAAGTGAAGCAAAACCGGGTGTGTTTGCATGGATATTAAAGCAAGGAGGAGAGGAGGGCTTCATCCAGCGCAGAAAAACAGCAGCCTTACCCCAATACTTCTAACAAATACTGCAAGCAATCACCCTCAGGATCACTAGAGCTGAACATAAACTTAACCTGACTCAAGAACGATGAAAAATGAAAGTCAAAGCAATTATTGCCCAGTTTGCTTTTCTCCCTTTTCAGAAGCTACTCCAAGCACAGTCTGGCTATTCAGCTCAGGCGAAGGGGAGAGAGCAAATGAAGGCAGTAACAACCTCTGCTGTCTAACTCAATCCACCTACGCACACGCCAATACTCTTACAGGCAAGTTCTTTATTTCACCTAAGGAGAACGGTAAGCTCAGAAAGCTTACAAATATCCAACCTCTGAAAAGCACAGCCTTTGGAAGTAATGCACTGGTTGCAGAAATGATACAACATGGTTTTGTTTTGGACTGTTTTGTTGTTTTTTTTTAACCTCTCTGGTTTCATTTTGCTTTTTCAATTACAAACGTGGCACGGGTAAAGTTTAAGAAAATTGTTTCTAAGAGAAAGCTTGGAAATGGAGGAAAGCAATCTGTTGATAAGCTTCAAAGAAGGCAACAGCTGCACTGCAAACAAAGATAGGGAAACCAGAAAGAATACAGCCAGCTTTATCCGTGATGCAGTAATTACATCACATTGTGCACCATGTTAATGCAGCC